TCTCACTTACCTTCGGATGATGCAGCCCCCTCTCCACATCAGGGCGATGCCGCCATAATTGAGGGTCCAGCCAAATTCAGTGGCCGCCTGTCTCAGCAGCATAAAGCCTTGAGCGTACGAGATGATCTTGGAAGCATAGAGGGCCTGAAGAACAACACAAAGACTTACTGCAATCGCAGTTGGCAGAGCAACCACCTCACATCTGCTAGTCTTATCCTCATCTGCAGCCGAGATCCCAGAAAGGACAAGATTCTAGGAAAAGGCTGTAAATCAGGATCAAGGCGAAGGCTGAACTTGCTTCCACCTGCCACCCTGTGGCCTCGTGTATTCTCCCACAACCCCCACCACCTTCCAAGGGACCAGGAAAGACCGCTGCCAGGGACTGTGCCCCACCTTCCGAATGTCCTCCAGGAATGATTTCTTATCACCTTCAAACTGGATCTTTTGGGGACCCTTCAGTTTTTTGCTCGCTTGAATTCTCTCGTCCTTCAGAGATGATAAGCATCGAGCAAAGACAGCTTCTCCTACATGGGGGCGTGGGGGGGAAATACATTACCAAGTGCAACATCAACCAGAGGACAGCGAGGACAGCGGCCGGAGGGTGCAGAAAGACAGAGATGGAGCAGGAAATTCAAGTTTTAGAAAGAGCTGAAAGTTTCAACCGTGGGCCACAAAAGTTAATATGGATCAGAAGGAACTTTTGTAAAAAGCTCTCAACAGTTAATTTGATAACTAAAACTCTAAGTCCCAGCATAAATATAAGTATTCGACCACAAAGATCAACATCAAATTCAAAGGGAAATTTTGAGGGAAAATGAAGAAATAAAACCACTGTTATTCAGAATTATTCAGTGTTGGTCCAGGAGTTAAATGTCAAACTTAATTTAGAAGACTTTAATTTTTTTGGAGGACTTTAAATTTTAAATGCTCACCAAAGACTCAATTTATTTTCTCTTGAAGTGCTAAGTACCCAACAATTAGAAACAGCTAGTACATTGAGAAGTCAGACTTACTGACTCACCACTCAAAAAACTCCATTTCTTAATTCTTACATTGTATGGTTTTCAGTACACCCATGATCACCATTAAAGTTTCATAATTTTATTTCATTTGAATAAAAAATTTCAATACAGTATTTTAATATTAAGACATTTAGTATCTTTAAAAATTATGCCTTATAAAAGACTACTTGCTTAATTGACAATTTAGATGATTAGAATACATTACCCTTTAACCATTTTTTTATACCCCCATAGACAAAATGAAGTAAAATCTCAGGGAACTAACAGAGGGCTTTATCTTTGAGATAAAAAAGTCCTCTGTTAGTTCCCTGAGATTTTACTTCATTTTCTCTGTGGAGGTATAAAAAAATGGCATAAACTCGAGAACACTGACAAAGCGAAAACACACCGAAGCAGCTGTCTTTCTAGCCTTGCCCAATCATGTTCTCTCCCCTGCAGTGCACACACACGGTGACTTGGCATTTGCGGAAGGAAGCTGTGTAAGACAACTGGCGCAACAGGCAAGTGTGGCAAACCCTTCTGAGAGCTGGGCGGGCTGGAAGACTTACTTCCCCAATAGCGCCCAATCATGCTGGCGCCCAGCCAGGAATTAGGCCTGGCCTGCCCTGGGGGAAGGGTATGCAGAGCTCCACACCAGGGCAGAGTAGGAAGGATTCTCTTTGAGATTGTACTATTTGAACATACATTTGAGTCAGTGATAAATAAACTGCTCCTGGCTGCGTCCCCTCTCTTCCTCCCCACCCAAGGCATCAGTCAGATTTGCTAAAAGCAGAATCTAAAACTTCCTTCTATGTAGTGCTGGACTAAACAACCTACTTCCCTCCTCACTGTGCGTTTCCCCACAGTTCATCAACAGGGCGAGGCATAAAGAATGGAGAAGTCGAAAGAAAGGAGGAGACCAGGGAGAGAAAGGCAGCCTGTATCTGGAGAGCAAACAGGAATATTTCTGTTCTATTATCGGGAGACTGTTCTGCTGGGAGCCAAGATCAGCTTTTCATTAACACACTAGGCACCTCCTTTATTCTCCCTTTTTCAATCCCCACAAGTACACCTATTTTATTCTTAAAAGAACCAGTTTTTGGTTTTGTTAATCCTCTCTAATTTGTTTTCTGTTTATATCTGCTTTTATTATTTCTTTTCTATCTTTTTAAGTTTGATGCTTAGCTCATTAATATACGATCGTGGTGGCACACATCTATAATCCCAGCACTTTGGGAGGCCAAGGCAAGAGGACCACTTGAGGCCAAGAGTTCAAGACCAGCCCACGCAACATAGTGAGACCTCCTTCTCTACCAGAAGAAAAAAAAACCCAAAAACCAAACAAACAAAAAAACCCCCACAAATGGGAAGAATCCACGCCAACTTCAGGATAGTGGTTTTCTTCTAAAAGAGGAACGGGAAGGAGCTTTGGAAAAGAATATTAAAGGACTTCAAAAGTATAGGTAATGTTTTGTTTTGTTAGTTATCTGGTGGGAAAAACACAGCAAAATTTTAATAAATTCTGAGTGCGTAAAGCTTACATTATTCTAAACTTTACTATAAAAAATTCCATTACTGCCTCGTTAAAAAGATCTTAGGTCACTGACAACAATAAAGTCACCAATGCTAAAATATTCCAAAGGTAAAATAGGATAGGAAAGACAGTAGCTTCCGAATTCCCCTCAAAGCTCATGTGAGTGAGACAAGAACTGCAGAGATTTAACAGCAGTGTCGGCCTCTCTCACCAGTTTTTTCATATGCGGGGAGAGCAAAAGGCCCTCTGAAAGCTGATTACGGTTGAACAGATTCTCTAAAAGACCAGTCTATATCAATATTCCAGAAGGATAGCAAGATCAGAACAGCGGCACGAAAGGTTCAAGTGCAAAGCGCACGTTACCGATGAGGGTGACAGGGACGCCGTACTCCAGGGCAGAGATAGCAGTCCACTTCCCGGTGCCCTTCTGCCCTGCACTGTCCCTGATCTTTGGCAGCAGGAACTTGCCATCGGTATCTTGGAACTTGAGAATATTGGCTGTGATTTCGATCAGGAATGAGTCTAGCTCGGTCTTGTTCCACTCCTGGAAGGCCTGCGTGCAGAACGTGAGAGAAAATGACGTGAGAGAAACGGGGCTGCCGCAGGGGAAGCCCCCTTAGCCGACGTCTGTGGCACCCAGTCACCCTTGTCCGTGTCAGTACTGACCAGGGCTCACAGGCGCTGAGCGCGTGGGGCCAGCAGCACTTCCCGTTGGCCGGCCGAGTGGGCGTTATGCTCACCGAGGGTCAGTGTTTCAGCTCTACCTGGCGATGCGGATTTCCTGATCGCCAGGATTGTTCTTTCCTCAGAGCCCAGCGCTCCTCAGTTCTCTTAGGTCTCTGTTCACTGCACCCCAAAGCCTTCCGTGATCACCTGATCTAACATCTACCTCTCACCCAGTTTACTCTTCTTCCTAACAGTCACCACTAACTAGTTTTATGTTATATACCTAATTATTACTGTCTATCTTCCCAGTTCCGTGAGGGCAGGACTTCTTTTTCTTCACTGTTACCCCAACATTTAGAATACTGCCTAGCATACAGGAAGCACTCACGTGTTTGCTGAATAAATACATTAAATATTATATAAACCAATTAAATATGAACACAAAAAGAAAACTGTTTCTATGAAAATTGCGTTAAATGTTTTACTTTTTAAAATTTATTTATTTCTGAGACAGGGTCTCATTTTGTCACCCAGGCTGGAGTTCAGTGGGATGATCATAGCTCACTGCGGCCTCACACTCCTGGGCTTAAGCAATCCTCCCACCTCAGCTTCCTGAGTAGTAGAACTATAGACGCACACCACCACACCCGGCTAACTTTTTAAAAAATATTTTTGTAGAGACAGGGTCTCACTACATTGCCCAAGCTGATCTTGAACTCCTGGCCTCAAGCGATCCTCCCACCTTGGCCTCCCAAAGTGCTGGGATTACAGGCATGAACCATGGTGCCAGCCAAGTTAAATGTTTTAGAAAGAACAATAAAGGCAGGCTGGTGAAACAAACTGCAGTCAAAATAAGTGAAGATGACATGAATTAAAAAAAAAAAAAACTAAGAGGAAAAATACATAAAAAATCTGGAAGCACCATGTGCCTTGCAAGTGTCTTTAAACCATGTCTAACCTGAAATAACTAAACCTAGAAGTCCTAGATGATAAGATAGATGACTAGAATGCTAATCAGCAGAATCGTACTGAATGAAAGGGCCTTGGCTCTACAAAAGATTGGTGAATGAATGTACCTTCCTCTGTTTTCAATTAAAATATATGTTTATCTAATGATGCTTAGGTATTTAGAAAAAAAAAGTACCGATGCCTGCAGTTTGCTTTGAAATGTATCAGAAAAAATAAGATAACAAGGCCAAGAATGGTGGCTCATGCCTGTAATCCTAGCACGCTGGGAGGCTGAGGTGGGAGGATCGCTTGAGGTCAGGAGTTAGAGAACAGCCTGAGCAAGAGTGAGACCCCATCTCTACGAAAAAGAAAGAAAGAAAAAAAAATCCAGCCAGGCCTTGAGGCACATACCTGTAGTCCCAGCTACAGGCGTGCTGGGAGGCTGAGGCAGAAGGATCGCTTAGAGCCCAGGAGTTGGAGGTTGCAGTGAGCTACAATGACACCACTGTACCATACCCAGAGCGACA